AAAAGATGCTCATTTGTGCGGCTTGTGCGCAGCACTGGTACCCCTTTCGCTTCTTCCCGGGGCCATTTGAACCAGAGTGTGGAGCAGGCCAGAACGGCGCCCCGAAGACAGTCGTCCGTTGGGAAAGCGAACAGGCACTGCATGTTAGGGTGCATCCACTTGTGCACACTGGAGTTTCTCTGCATACATCCTTAGTATGGAAACGTGGGGCTGAGGAACAGAGCCCGCCTTTTCGATATGCGGCATGGCTTCGCCATCTTCCTGAGCTTTATTTGGCTCCATCAACTGTAGGCTGGGCAAAAAGCATGCTCAGCAGTTGCCTACAAGGACATCATGATTTTCTGATCCTACATCTCAGGAATAGCCAGGCTGGGACCGCAGGAAGTTCGTTGAATTTGGCTGTGGACAAAGGCACAGCTGAGGGAACTCCTAGGAGCTCGTCCGTTGACAAAGCAAAAGAGGAGTTCCGGATTCAAAGAGAGGCTCAGCTTCTACCTGAGCACTCTCTTTTTTCAGCTGCAGTTGCGGACGCCCCGAAAGTACCCACCACATGGACAGTGCGGTTTTCTTCCCGCCAGGAATCTTCAGCTGGTAGCGTTTCCTTGCTGCATCCTTTGCGTATATGCTTGCCAACACCTGTGGCTGGGAGCCAGACAACGGCATGGTGCGCGGCAGCCACGACAGCGAAAGATTTAACCGCAGCCGCTACAACGTCAGCGCTGCCAACCCCGGCGGAACGCGAGGGATTGAAGGAAAGCAACTCACCGGCAGAGCCATCCAGCGTCTGCAGCTCACGCGCAAGCACGTCAGCTGAACGATTTCAACTGCCACTGCCACATGCTGCCCCTGGGGAAACTTCGGCGAGTGCTGTTGCTGAAGGGCAATGCGATGGCTGGTCAAGCTTGTTTGCCACTGCAGGGGAGTATAACCACGCACGGCAATCACAATCAGTTCCTCCGAGCGGAGCGACGACGTGTGTCACAACTTCCGATGCCTGCACAACCTTGGCACCGGAAGCCCAAACACAGGCGTTTCGTTATGACTGCGTGGAGAGTCAAGCGTCAAAACTGGACATTCTGGAAGGATCTTGCGAGAGCATTGTTTTAATGCGGATGTGTGGGCCACCACCTGCGAAAGTGCAGCCTCGACGCTGCAGCCCTTTATCTACTGCGGCATGCAATGAAGCGCGAGGCCCACAAACAAGCAAGCAGAACAATGCTGATATGCTGGGGACAACGTTGACATCTTTGCAAAACAAAAGGCACATCCGTCGTGGGTGGAGGCTTGAATCCGACTCGAGGACTAATAGTGAAGGCTCAACAAGGCTGCCATCAGCAATCAATCGAAACCCACTATGTCTACGACGTCTTGAAGGGCCAATCCAGCAGCAGCAATCCAGAAGGGCACGGTCGTCAACATCTTTTAGCGCTGGCAACGCATTTCTCAGTGCTCTACAAACCGGTGAAGGTACCGGGATACGAAGATGCTCAACGTTGGGGAAGCGCCTGGCCGACTTCTCGAAAGTTTACTTTCTTGGGTCCCAAATGTCTAGCCAATCCTCAACGCCTACGGTAGCAAGCATGCGAGCGGTGTCAGGATCTAGCGGTGACAGGACAGAGCAACCCTCGTTGTCGATGGAAGGAAGACAACTGTTCAAGGTGGCCCAACGAAAAACTAGGGTGCTGGCCGCGCATGCAGGGTGTCAGTTTGGTAGGGGGCGGCGGATACAATTAAGGGAGCCGAAGCTAACAGCGCAAGCGCCTACACTCCAGTCTCGCCATCAAGTGGAGCATCACACACAGCAGCTGAAATTTTCAGGATTCTTGGCACAACGGCGCACCTCCTTATCGCCCTCTTCAAGGGCGCACAACGAGCCCCGCTCATTTCGAGGGCACGCTACTTCTATTCATGCGGCCTCACCAGCGCTTCGTAGGGCTGTGTCTCTGCATTCTAGGCATCAAGCCGTACTATCGCGAGAAGCAAAAATCGAGAGGAGCTGTGTGGCGCCCGTCGATACGGAGGCTAAATGTCGCGGGTTTTCTCAAATGAACAAGAAGGTGCAAAATTGGGCTAAAGAGGAGAAGGTATCACAAATGCAGGATGCTACGGTCCCAGTTATCACTGCAAGCTCCATAGCGGAGCAGGTGCGAGACGAAGGAATGCCACGAAAGTCGGGAGTTGCGCAGAGTAGAGGAGGGATGAGTTGGAGCAGCAGTGGCAAACCAAGGCGGTCCGTTGGGAAGTTTCTCCCACTCTTCCTTCTAGCAGCCTCCGCAATGAACCTAGCAGTATGTGCAGGATCTCCTATTTCAGCAGAAGATGCGGGCTTTGCGGTGGTATTGCCTCAACGTTGGGCAACCCCGCAGCCCAGTCGGCTGTCTCAGTTTCATCGACTGGGGTGGACTGATAGATTTATTGTATCCGCCATTGAAGGAAGTAGGGGAATGGTTGACTCCACACTTCAGAGGAGTGAGTGGCGGAAATGGAACGCCGTAGCAAGCTCAGCATCACACCGGGGTTTACGCCCCACGGGCGCACAAGACTACCGGCATTGCTGGAAGGTTCCGCAGCAGCAAGTTGCGTGGCTACAGCCGTTGTATTGCAGAGCTTCACAAACTATCAAAGCTAGCTGCCTCTTCGGTAAGGGGCGGCGGGCACAGCCCTTCAATAGTGGCGCAAGTGGCTTGCTCTGTAGTACGTCTTGCTCGAAGCATCCCATCCACGGTCTGCAACCTGGGCCCAATTTGCCAACAGTTCCATACGGCCTTTACATGCGTCGTGCAGTTCGCGTTGCAGCAGTAAAGCAGAAGTCGAGAGGCTCCATTGATAAGCGTTTCAAGGTCACAGCAACTGGGAAGCTGCTCTACAAGCGACCTGGACAGCAGCACCACGCCCACACAAAATCTTCAGCAAGACGCACAAGATTGCGACGTGTGGCGACGTTGAAGTCAAGCCAGATATCACGGCTTCTGGGTCCTCTTCGATTGCGTGGTTAGCGATGCAGAGTGGCCCAAGGGTTCTCCTACAACGACCGTGAGACACAGTTGTCATTGCGCGTATCTCCACTTCTTATAAATTTACACGGACCGACGGGTTTACACTCGTCCAGTTGCACATAACGGGGTGCTGAGACTCCGTTTGGCTTGTGTGAAGCAGGTGATTTCTTCAAATATGTTTCTTGCAGAGGCGGTTAGCGCAGCTCGATGTTGGCAGCTGCCTCCGCCCACTGCGAACATTTTTCTGTGCGAAACACATAATGCTTTGTTTTGTAATTTTCTGGCGCGTTAAGGTCCTTGATATACTGGAGGTACGTGTTCTTGGCTTTACTTGGCTTGTCTCCAGAAGCGCAGCTCCACCGGTGTGCAGCGATAGTCCAGCTTGAGGGAGCATAGTGCCACTTAGTTCTGGCAAAAATTGCTGTCGGGCAGCACGTATATGGATGCGAAGATTCACGCCCGCCTCCAGCATTCGGCAGATCCCACCCTGTTGCAGGGTGCACGGACCGTAGTTTGTTGATTTTTCCACAGGGCTGAAGTACCGATGCCGTAGAGCTGCAAACTGCGTAAGCACGTAAATATCGGCTAAAAGAACATGGTGCTACTGAGGTCTGGAGTTTTGCCGTGTACTTCACCTCCTAGTGGAGAACAAAGATCAATACCGACCACAATGACGGCAGCTAAGAGGCAGCATGTTGTAAAATGAGTGCTCAAGATGCATGCACGGGCTATAGGCCTATAGGCCTTTGACCAACTAAATTTTGACCCGCCATACGCACATATAAATCGTTATTGATGACATTTTTTCAAGCAGATCGGGCTAAGCATCGTCTCAAGGTAGAGCCACGCCTCCGGTGCACCACCACTGGAAACGCAGTGCACCAAAGAGGGCATCCTATTTCCATCTCAAGCCAACAGAATGACTCCGCCTATCGTCACATGATCGGGTAAGCCACAATACTAGGGATCCTCGAGCAGCAACAGCTAATGGAGGCACCGAACGGCCCCAGATTGGATTGGGTCTGCGCAGCCTGTCGAGACAGTTGCCCTAGGGTCCAGCTAAGCAGCTGGGTCGCAGTCTCCGTTCTAAATGCACCTACAATTTCGAGAGCAGTGTAGTACACAAGATGCGCCAGTGTCAAGGCTGCACGCTTGAACGCCGGCAGCCCGTCCGATGGTGATGCGGGGCGCCGCTATATTGTCCCACTACGCCGGGCTCTACTTTGCATGCTCCGGGCGATCACAAGCGTTCCGCGCCGAACACGATCAGAAAAGGAAATGGGGAGCCGAATGAGACGCTTTGAAGTACCGCCCGCACCCGAAATGCTCAAAGGTACTCTTGCATCACTCGTTGATTCGGCGTATGCTTTGCAGTCACTTCTGTTTGAACGCACAGCGCCTTCCCGGAATGAAAAGCGCGTGCTTGAAATAGCCTCTCTGCCTCTGCGGTAGAGCCTGACTCGCCTATAATAACGTCGCTTGCCTGCTGGTTTCGGAATGCCTCCTGCGCAAGAGGTGGCCGTCGCATGACAATTCTGCGGGAGCAGCCGACGGCGTAGTCGCCTTCGTAATCCAATGCGATGGCGTCTTCCCGGCTCAACGATATCACGCTGTATTTTCTCAGTCTTCTGCAATTTGTTTCGAGCGTGCCGCCTGTACAGTCTTTTCGTGTGGGCTTTTCCTGGCGTCGCATCGTAGTGATCCAGTTGTTGCTTGTCTTCAGAACGTCGGTATGTCCCAGAGACCGAGCTGTACAGTGCTCGCATCACACGTTTTAACCTTCGGAGTTCCATTACACGAGATGGTTGTGGTTCGATACACACCCCGGCTGTCGCGCTGGGCTGCTGCTCTGAGCATTTCACATGGGAGCACGGGCGCCCTAGTGGGGCTGAATGCTGCACGGCTGTATCCCCATCCTTACGCTTTTGCACTCCCTGCCCTTGAAGTTGACTGTCAGCTTCTTCTGTCGGCGAAGTCATTCCACCCTGGAAGTTGGAGAGATCCTCACAAGCCAAACATGCTTCTGAGCGACTGCTTCCCGAGTATATTGACACACTGGGAGAAGGCTCAGCAGCAACAGGCAAAAGAAATTGTGAGGATCCTTGAACGCGCAGCCTCCGGGTATCTAGGTGTGACACGACTGCGGGGAAATTGGCGTGGTGCAATCCCCGGTCCGAAGGCTCCCCCCCCCCGCTCGCCTTCATATTTGCCGTCTTATTTGCTGCCGCCACTGCATGGGGATAGTGGGCAGCCCATTGTGTAGTGCTCGGACGAAACGCGCAAGGAACCCTCTTTTCCTTAGAAAACCCCTTCACTCCATCGCATGGAAAAGGAGGTGAAGTCCTGCAAGCACAGACGCTCCACTTTGGGGATCGTTCGCATGAAGGAGCGGCTTGCCATGCGGCACTTGGAGGAGAGCCCAAGGCCCTTTCAAGTGCGCCTGATGTCGAAATCGACACCGTGCGACAGGTGCCATCCGGCGAGCCTGGTGAATGCGGGTGCTGTAGAGGCGATGGTGTAGCCGGTTGACAAGCCATTCTCCCAGCACTAAGCTCTTGCGGGCCTGGCGTTCTCAGACACCTGGTGTTTGCTGAAGGATAAAATGAAGCTTCAATATTTTCGACAGTGCTTCCGTCGCGCCGGTCACCAGGTGCTGTGAATACTCGCCGCCGATCTTCCCAACAAGAGTTCTTGGGAGAAAATTCATGCGATTGCGTCACTGTGGCATTGTTACCAGGCATGGATTGATTCTCAGTGTGGGTGCCAAGCTGGACGCAGGAATCGTCAAGGGCCCAATAAGTATGAGCATGCAAATCCCTCCCTGCAGCGCTGTGCATTACACAAGAAGGGGAGGATGGAGGGGATCGCTTATTTTGTGCTCGCTGGGGAGCATGAGCAGATGAGGCTTGCTGAGGGGAGTCTCCACACTGGCGTTCCTCGCGGGCAGGCAAGTCTGCTAACGGTGGTTCCCTCCTGTCAGCATTAAAGAATGGCGACCCCACAGAATGACCTTCATATACAGCCTGCCCTTTCCCTTCCAAATGGCTTTGAGCTGATTTCACGGTATCCTCAACCTGTAGTCTAGAAGTGTAGATGGCCGTTTGACCCAGGGGACTTTCCCAACACCGCCCATCTGCATCCTCTACGCCGTGCGGGATACTCCCTGCTTCCATCATGCAAAGATTTTGCCCTGCTCCAACGCTTTGGGAACCACCTGTCTCATCCGCCAGCGACAAACCTGAAAGCACAATTCACAGTCAACGCTGTGGAGGATACATTCCTGCTCTCATCTGTCCTGACGGAGGGGCTATAGGGGCAAAAGGAGGATTTAACAAATCTGACGAAGTAGGCGTTGAGCAAACGGGACCTTCTGCTGAGGGCGTAACCGATGAAAAAGGTGGTAGACACTCACAAGAAGAGCTTCTCAAAGAAAAAGACACAGTTACACCCTTGGGAGCCTGAGGTGTTCCATTCCGCGCTTCACCCGACGAATTCGGAGCATTCGGAAATCCAGTCAGCCCCCCTTGGTGCCTAGTCTGCTGGACCAGAAAATCATGATGTCCTTGTAGACGACTGCTGAGCATGCTTTTTGCCCAGCCTACAGTTGATGGAGCCAAATAAAGCTCAGGAAGATGGCGAAGCCATGCCGCATATCGAAAAGGCGGGCTCTGTTCCTCAGCCCCACGTTTCCATACTAAGGATGTATGCAGAGAAACTCCAGTGTGCACAAGTGGATGCACCCTAACATGCAGTGCCTGTTCGCTTTCCCAACGGACGACTGTCTTCGGGGCGCCGTTCTGGCCTGCTCCACACTCTGGTTCAAATGGCCCCGGGAAGAAGCGAAAGGGGTACCAGTGCTGCGCACAAGCCGCACAAATGAGCATCTTTTAAACAGGCTGAGTTATGACTCACAACGTACTTTGATTTGACCGCCTCTGAACTACGGAGGGTCTGCATGAAAAAACAGCCGTAAACGAGTTGGATAGAGTGATTATGAGTACCTCTGATATGTCGGGAGCTGTTCCCCCGTACTTCTTCTCAAGCTGGTGGGCAGCAAACTGCGTTCGTCGTTCCTGATCCCAGTCATCAGGATTTGTAAACACTCGAAGCTTCTTTGCCGTAGTTGTCGGCAAAGACGAGACCAACGGCTTGGCTATGAAGTGAAATAGCCGTGGAGCATAGAGGATATAGAAACGATAGAGGCGGCCCCGGTACGACCCTTGGATCAACTGTACTAATCTCAGAAGCAGTGGCAATGGGAAGCTTGATATGGATGTACCGTTCAGGTCACAGAGGATGCACCAGCTCTCCACGACTCCCGCGACGCACAGATACCTGCATTGGCCATTGCAAGCACACATACCCGTCACAATGCTTTAGGCCAGCACACCGACCAAACATACACGCTAAAACATACACGTTTAGAAAGCCCGGATTAACTTTTTGCTCGCCATCGTCATGCAACATCAGCACTAAACGCACGAGCCAAGGGCTCTTTCCAGACAGTTCCCCACCATCGGTACGAATCACCACTACTAAGCAGCTGACCTTAGGAAGAACTCCAAGCAGAAAATGACAAGACGCGTCACCTTCTCTTCCACTGCTGCCTCTCGCTGCAGCTGTTGTAGCCTCTGGAGTGAAATGACAAGCAATGGCCGCATCCTACGGTCTCTTCCGTGCCAATAGCACGCGCCCATGTTGCGAAGCTCATGATAAACCTCAGACTCCAGCACCTACGACGCAGGCAACTGCCCACACAAGAAAGCATATCTACGTTCGAGCACGTACGAGTCGTAATGATTTTCGCGAAACACTACTCCTAAAATGAAAACTATGTGGGGATGGGGTAAAGCAAGCCACTTCAGGGACAGCCGAAGGCAACTCACAGGGAGCTGCTGGGTGCGAAAAGCGAGAGTGGACTGCAAAAGGTCGAAGGTCTTTTGTTTGTCAAAAGAACAACTATACAGATATCGCAGAACCAAGTGCTCCAGCCAGACGGGTTGTACCCCCAGTAGCGCTTCAGGCCATTGTTGTGTTGCATTCGCTGCATCTTCCTGCTTCTGCAGCCCCAACAGCTGCAGCAAAACCTCGTCTATTGCCTGCTGCTCGTCTTCAGTAATTGGCGTGTTCGTAAAAAGCTGCCTGTCATTACCATCCTCATCAGCTGGTTCGCTCTGATGACTCAACAGCTCTTCCGGCAGCAGCCAAGATCCTCGCTGGTCGTCTGCCGTTACGTCGAAGCAAATCTGTCCCAACAACAGAGACGGCTCCTCTAAAAGAAATGTGTCACGCAGCAGCGGTGCCCACAAAGCGTACTTTCCTGCCTCCTGCAGGGCCTTCACGTACTCATCTGGCCCTCCTCCTTCAGTGCTGCTACGTGAAGCACACGAGGAACGGCCAGGTTCGCCGCAGGGACTTCCT